CGCGAGCGTCCGCGCAGAAGACCCCGTTCACTTCTGTCGCTCCCTGGGGGCTTCCGGGTCACACCCGCGGGGGCGTGGGCACCGACCGGGGAGCCCTGGGGAACATGACGGGGCGGCGGTGGACCGTCATGCAGCCGCCTCGGGGGCAAGGTTGGAGGCTCATGGGCGGGTAACCCTGGGCCACCTCGGGAACGCCTCAGATTCTCGTGGAGACTCTGCAGGTTCTTTTTAGCGCTGTCGGTCGGAAATTGGGCCCACCCTCAACCGCTCCAATAAGAAGGGCCAGAATGTGCCCGAAATGCGGAGGGTCTTGCCAGATCCTCCTCGGGACGTCGCGGAACTTTCCGGTAAACCGTACTGGTGTGACAATCAATATTGGAGCCATCTTGGAGGCTGCCGGGGGGGGGGGGGGGACTTGGGGGGCTTTTGGGAAACAAAGTACCGATACTGCTACTCCCCGGCCCTCTCCTGGGGTGCGTTCTGACCAGGACTTCGAGGCAAATCTAGCGGTGTCGACGAGGGCCTCCGCGGTGGCCCAAAACAGGGAAAACGGGCGACGGGTAGAGGTATGGGTACCTTTTCCTCCTCTGAGGCTTGTCGGAGCCCCGTCGCGGACGACCTCGGCTGTCTCCGGGCGCCTCCCAATGGCTTCTTCGAGGCCCCCATGCAGGGGCCCTCCAGGCTCGTCTGCGGGCCGGCCGGCCCAGCCGATCTGGCCCACTCGAGGCAGGAGTCTGAAGGGGCCCTGGGACACACACACACACACACAAAAATAAATAGGCACGAAAAATAGGGTTCCCCATATTTACCCATCTTTTCTGGGTTTGCGTCTTCCCCCCCACTGCCCATATCTTCCCATATTTTCCTGGGAGTCGACGATGAATTGTGTCGGTGTGTTTTTCCCCTCCTGGCCACTCGAGGCAGGAATCACGGCTCGCCTCTGCCGGGTCATGCTGCACCCAGTATTGCAGAGGTGACGGTGGGCTCCAGATTGGCATCCCGCAGCTCGCTGAGCAACGCCAGAGCTCTCTGCCACTGCCCACCTTTCTCGCACGCGCTGATTCCAACGACGTAACAAATGACGTTGGGTTCCACCTTCGTCTCAAGAAATTCGCGGAGCAACGACACCGCCCGCAGCCACTGCCTGCCTTTTCCGCATGCGCTGACAGCCGCAATGTAGTGTCCAGCGCAATGTTCCGCACATGATTGAGACGCTTCTCGGAGTAATTGCAAAGCAACGCTCCAGTGCTTCGTCCTCCCGCGCTCGCTTATGACCGCCTCTATGGAAGAACCACCCGGCCGAGATCCTCGCGGCAAGCTTGGCATCCAAGAGCCTTGACCGCAGCAGCTCGAACCACACCAGGCCCAACCACCTGCCTACTACCCCCCCGGGGGCGAGGGTCGGGCGAAAACGGGTGTTAGAATCAGCTGCACGCCGCTACTTCGCTCTCCCCGTCCCCCATTCACCCCTCGCTCCTCCTATCCCTCCGACACCTCGCCCCTCCCTCCTTCCTCCTCCTCCTCCCCCCCTCCTCCCCCGAGGGAGACCACAAAGGACGTACGCGCCCAGCTATGTACATGAACACGGCCCCTCGATCTGCGAGACCGGCCGCGTGATACGAACTTTCGGGCAATGCGTACTCTCGAAACCAGCGTGGATTCATGTACGTGTACGTCCTTCTTTCCCTCCTCCCCCGCCTGCTGCTCCCTCCCACCCTCCCCCCCCACGGCCCACTCACCACATGGCAAGCTGGAAGATACGAGCCGCCGGGCTCGCCGGAGGACCCCGCCCAGCCGCCTGGGCAATGGACGTTTTTCGGCGACCTCGACGAGCCTTGGGGGAGCCCCGCCCGACGACTTCGAGGGCGGGAAACAACCAGGACACACTAATGGGGGGAAACGATAAAAACAACTTTCTGGGGCGGACGATAAAAAAACAGTTTCCGGCGGCCGAATTCTATTAGTCCGCCCCACTCAATCATTTTGGGGGGTCTGGGGGGGGGGCAATTTTTTAATGCGTTTCCCCCCATTAAGGCTCGGATCGTCCTTGATAGACGACGACGGAAACAATGCTACTACGCAGGGAGGTCACGCTAAACACGGGCATGCCGCGCACGACGACAGCACAGCGGTCAGCGGTCCTACGCGGACGTTAACATAGTTTCTCAGATAGTCTGGCCCATGCGGCGGTCGTTGTCAAGGACCCGGCCTCTACAGCCAATCCGCCCAACCAACAGGTCGCTGTCCCTTCCCACCACAGTACGGGGAAAAGCGGCCCGCCTACATCCCGAGGCCGAGTAGGTCTCGGTCCGACGGTGACGCAGCGAACGGACCGAAAGCTATCCCTCACGCAGCACCACGAGTCTGCAATGCAACAGCCAGAGCGTGAACGCGAAACGAGCTTCATCGCTAGCATCACGACGCTGCAGCCGCGAGCAATTCGCGTTGCTCAAACTATACAACCCATCCAGGAACAACTTACTACGCTGTTGGACAAGCTCCATCGAACGCAGGACGCCTGGACTGGCCTTCAACAGGGCTTCCGCTCTACCGCCTCTAATGGGGTATCGCTCCAAGGAAACCTCCACGCGTACCTTGGTGCTCACCACCGCTCTGCACACCAGTTCTAGCGCCTTCTCTCCCGAGTGCGCTGCAAGAACATTCGGCAACTGCTCCGCAGCTGTCACACTGGGTCGCCGAGGGGGATGCCCCGAGGCGGCATCAAGGTTCAGGGCACCGAAGTGCGAACGCCTGAAAGGCGCGCTGGCAGCCGGCGCCTCTTCTTCGGGTGTGCAGACCGGCCCCCGGGGCGGCCTGCTCACGACACACCCGCCGCCTCCCGGGTGGGGGGGGTCCTTCTGGCCGCGCCAGGGAGGGAGGGTAGCGCCCCCCCACCCCTGCTCTTGCAGCGGCGCTTCCCGCGTGGCCGCCTGGCCTGCTCACGACATGCCCGCTGCCCCCCAGGTGGGGGGGGGGCCCTTCCGACCGCGCCCAGGGGCGGGAGAAAGGAGCGCGCCCCGCGCCCGTTTGCTCTCTGTGAGCGGGCGCCTCCCCCGCCTGGTGGGGGGGGCAAGCCCGCGCAGGGCCCCAGTCCGCTGCGAGGCCTGGGCTAGGGACCCGGCCCGAACCGCGGAACTCTCGTCCTCGGATCCTCCCTCCCCTGCCTGCCTCCCTCCTCCTCCTCCTCCTCCTCCTCGTCCTCGCTCTCCTCCCCAAGAGGTGCATCCCCCCTTATCCTCTCCTCCCCCCCATCCCAACCCTGCTCCTCCTCCTCCACTCCAACCGTCCTCCCTCATCCTCGCTGCTCCTCCCCCTCCCTCCTGACTCCTCCCTCTTTATGTCCCTCCTCCTCCTCCCCTTCCTCCTCCCGCCACTCCTTCCTGCTTACCCTCCTTATGCTTCCCCAAACCCTCATACTCAGCAATGAGAGCTTCTCCACGTCGCACCACCAAAAGGTGTTGGCAAGGCAATCGTTTCGTCCGAGATGCTCTCACGCCCACCTGCGATCCAGACCGTCACCCACATGGATCACCCAGATTGAGGGCAGATCGTTCGTGAGAAAGGGGGCTGATCGTTAGGATCCTGAGAAATGACTCCCACCCAGATGGAGAGCGGCCAGTTATAAACTTGTGACAATCGCCATTCTCGCCTCAGCGCCGCGCGCTCTTGTAGCAGTTCAGTAACAGTCATCTGGATGAAAGTCGAGACGTCCTCAACATGTGACTCGCGCCTTCCAGCGAATACATTCATTATTTTGAAAGCACCCAACAACCTCAAGGGAGGCGGGAGGTTGCTGTCATAATGGGACTCTCGCCCTGGCACCCGTAGCACGCATGCGTTCAACCGTCACAACGACGGAGGGTGGGCCGTTTCCGAAACGGGGCTAAGACTTGAGACTCCCCACGTTCCCAGTCCCGCAACGTATACACGGCGTGCCAAGTAGAGCATCCGAAGCGAAACTCTCGGTTAAGACTTCCTCAGACAGTAAGGCTCGTGGGGTACACTTGCGTAACACATGCAGAGATGGATGCGCGAGTCCTTGGCAGAAGCGGCGACCCCTCGAGACCCCCTTCCCGCTTAACGCTCGACGAGCAGCACTGTGCCGCAGCTGCGTCCACGACGGGCGGCCGCTCTTCCAGAGCAGGGCTCTCGCTGGACACGTCCGTCTGCCTGCCAGCCCCCGCGCGCTCCTCCTTTTTTGATTTCGGGGCTCTCCACGTTGGCCCCACGGAGCGGTGACCGTACGCTGGCGGCGCGCACGAGGCGGTAGGTGAAGGGAGACGGCTTCTTAGGCGGACGCTGACTATCAGATGGCGTCGGAACGCTCTGAGAGCGTTCCGGCACGCTTTGAACGGACTCATCCTCGTCTTAGCCCCGTCCTAATAGCCCCTCCCGAGCCCAAAGCGGCCCATATTCAAGTGGCGCCACTCCGCCGACCCCCCCGGGAGGACCGAGTGATTGCGACGATCTTGGAAGGCATCTGGTGGGTCAGAGGAGGAGCTTCTTGGATGCACTTGAGGAGCTCGTGGGATGCCTCAGGGGCCTCTTAGATGCCTCTTGGGGGCATATTGGGGAGCCTCTTGGGGGCATCTTGGGGGGCTTTTGATCGAGGAACAAACAAAAAACGCATAAACACAAACTTTCGGCGCTCCGCGCGTATTTCTTGGATCTGCGCTGGAACGCGCCAGGGGCGGCGCCGGAGGCGCCGCCGAAGGAGCCCAGCGCGGATCCAAGAGATCTGTGCGGAGTGCAGAATGTTTCTGATTTTGGCGGTTTTTCTTTTAGACCCCCTCCTGAACCCAAGGCGTTGCCTCTTGGGGGGGCATCTTGAAGGGATTCCGGGGGCATCTTGGAGGGTTCAGGGGGCATCTTGGGGGCATCTTGGAGGGGCCTTTGAGAATCCCTCCTGAGCCAATAACGGCCCTCCTCCCAGGGTCTTGACCCCACTCCGCCACCATCTGCCAGGCCTACGCCGCCCCTGGCGGCCGTGCCCTCCGCGCCTTCCGGGCGGCTGCCTCGGCGGCCCTCCGCTCGTACTCCGCCAGCCGTTCCTCGGCGGGGGCGCGCGCGGGGGGAGGGGGCTGCCAGGCGGAGAGGAGCGGCGAGGAGGGCACACGGAGGAGGAGGCAGGAGGGAGCGAGAGGAAGGAGTGCCAGGCGGAAAGGAGAGGCGAGGAGGGCACAGGGAGGAGGAGGAGGAGGAGGAGGAGGAGGAGGAGGAGGAGGAGGTGGAGGAGGAGGAGGAGGAGGAGGAGGAGGAGGAGGAGGAGGAGGCAGGAGGGAGCGAAGGGAAGGAGGGCGGGAGGAGAGGCCGCGGGAGGAGAGAGCAGGCAGGAAAAGGGCGCGAGCGGGAGGAGCACCGGGGGGAGGGGGAGGAGGAACGCGGCGCGGGAGGCGAAGGCCGAGGGCTCGCCTGCTCCCCCCCCGCCGCTGCGCTCGCCCGCGCTGCCCCGGCAGCCTGCCGCAGCCGGCCGTCGACACCCGAGCCGCTGCCTGACACCCCCGGGCCCGCAGGGGGCCACGGGAGGCCCGACCGTGGCGAACACCTCACCCCTTCGAGTAACCCCATCGGGCCTCACAGGGGTGGCGCGGCGGGCCCGCACCCACTGTGGCTGGCCAACCACAGGGCAAGAGTCTCCCCCACAGCCCCGTCGAGCTGTGGTGACGATCGGGCTGCCAACCCGCCTGTTTTCCTGGGGCGCCACGAGGGCACCCAGCGGCACAGGTGCCGGGGCCCGCTTCCCCCACCAGGTGCCCAAAGGTGAACCCCCCCCGCCCCCGATTCCTGATGGGGGCGTGGATGTTCACGCCGCTCGGGGGCTCCCGCGCGAAGTGAGCCCTCCCACCCCGTCTTGGCAATCGGGGGGGGGGGGGGGGGCCGAAGCCAGCTGCGGCTAGCCGTGCAGCGTTCACTGGCAGGCGGCGGCAGCCGCGAGGAACCCGACGGATGGACGGAGCGCGGTGCAGCGCAAGGTGCCTCGGACACCAGCGGCGCGCGCCGCCGTTCCCCGCAGACAGAAAGAGGGAGAGAAAGACAGATCAGGGGACACCCAGGGACAAGCCACAACATTTCCACTCGCACAAACAAAAACACACGCACACACAGACACAGACACAGACACAGGCACAGACACAGACACAGACACACACACACACAGACACACATACAGACACACACACACAGACACACACACACACACACACACAACAGACACAGACACACACACAGACACAGACACAGACACAGACACACACACAGACACAGACACAGACACAGACACACACAGACACACACACAGACAGACACACACACACACAGACACACACACACACACACAGACACACACACACAGACACACACACAGACACACACACACACAGACACACACACAGACACACACACAGACACACACACAGACACACACACAGACACACACACACAGACAACACACACAGACACACACACAGACAACACACACAGACACACACACAGACACACACACAGACACACACACACAGACACACACACACACACAGACACACACACACAGACACACACACAGACACACACACAGACACACACACACACACAGACACACACACAGACACACGACACACAACACACACACACACACAGACACACACACACACACACACGCACGCACGTACGCACGCACGCACGCGCACGCACGCACGCACGCACGCACGCACGCACGCACACACGCACACACACACGCACACGCACGCGCGCACGCACGCACGCACGCACGCACGCACGCACGCACGCACCCACACACAGACACACAGACACACACGCACAGACACACACAGAGACACACACAGACACACACACACACACACACAGACACACACAGACACACACAGACACACACACAGACACACACACACACACAGACACACACAGACACACACAGACACACACACACACACAGACACTCACACACAGACAGACACACACACAGACACACACACACACAGACACACACACGCACACACAGACACACACACACACACAGAGACACACACAGACACAGACAGAAACACACAAACACACACAGACACACACAGACACACACACACACACGCCACATCCTTTTTTCGGGAACCAGCGAATGGGAGCCCAGTGGCAGAGTGCACGGAGGCGACGCGACGCGACGACGGAAACGATTGAAAACAAACGAACGACAAGCGCGCGAGTGGGGTGGGGAATGACATGGGGGAGGGGGGAGGGCGCAGGCGGCGCGATGGCCCGCGCCCGGACCAGCTGGCCTCAACGCCAGCCGGCTGCGACTTCGCGCAGACTGGCGCCTCGCCCAGCGCGGCTAGCCCGCGGCGCCCATCAGCCCGGCAAACCGGAGATTTTGCGGCGCAGCTTAGCGCACCGCGTTCCGCGCCACCTGGCCGCGGGCCGCGGGCTTGCGCCGGCCCTCGATGGCGCGCACCTTCGCGCGCAGCGCCTGCCGCACCCGCGGCAGCCGCGTCCGCGGCCGCAGCAGAGGCCTCCGCCTGAGCGGCCTCAGCGGCGCGGGCCGCCGCCGCCGCGCGCGCTGCCGCTGCGGCGCTCTGGGCGGCCCCAGTCGCGGCCCCAGCCCGCGCGCACCCCGCTGGCAGGGGCGCCGCCTGCAAGGCGTTGAGCCTGGCGGCCTCCTCCATAACCGCCGCATCAGCCCATGAGCCGCCGCTTCCCCGGCGCCGAAGCCTCCGGGCCCCGCGCCCGCGGCGGGGTCGAAACGCCGGCGGCCACGGGCGCGCGCCCCTCCGCCTGCTCCTAGCCCTCCGGCCCAGCAGACCCTGCGATGCTCCGCGGAGAGGCCAGGGCCGGGGCGCCCGGCGCGCCAGCCGAGATCGGCTGGCCTACGACCTGCGCCCACTCGAGCCCATCGCACTCGCGCTCGACGGGCCGCTCGCAGGCATCTAGAGGGAGTGCCGGCGGCCCTCCCGTCGGGCGAGGCCGGCGGCCACCGCCTGGGATTGGGCCATCGCCGTGACCCCCTCGGCCGCGAAGCCCGTCTCGAGCGCCGCCGCCACCGCCTCTGCGTGGGGCGTCCGCCGCGGCGGCCGCGCCGCCGCCGCCGGGCCTGGCCCCGGCGCTGCCGCCCTGATGGTGGAGCCCCTGTCCCCGCATAGGCACGGGGTTCCACCGGCGGTGCTGCCGTCGGAACCCCAGCCCCCGGCGCTATCGCCGCAGGCGGAGCTGCTGTCAGAACCCCCGCCCCCGGCGCCCGCGCCGCGGGCGCCGCCGCCGCCGGGGAGCTGCCGGAGCCGCTCTCGGAGACGCTGTCGCTGCTGCCGCTGCTGTGCGGGGCAGCCGCCGCCGCCGCCCCCTGCGCGGCCGGTCCTGCGAGAAGCGTTTCCGCGGAGATCTCCCGCCCGCGGCGCCGCCTGGGCGCCCGCGCTGCCGTGGGGGGTCTGCTGGAGCTGCCGCTGCGGGAGCGCTGGCCTGGGCGGCGCGCTCGCGGCGCATGGCCGCCAGGGCCGCCCCCTGGGCGGGCTCCGGTGCGCCCGCCCTGCGCCAGTGATCTGGGGAGCGGCCGCGCGCGTGGCTGTGCCGGCGGGTGCGGCGGCGGCGGCGGGCTGCCTGCTCGCTGGGGCTGCGCTCCCAGGGCTGGCGCTGGCGCCGTCGCGTCCCCCGGGCGCTGGTGCCCCTCGAGCTCGAGCCCAGCCGGGCTTTCGCAGGGGGCGGGGCCGCTCTCCTCCAGGGGGCCGCCAAGGCCGACACTCGAACCCACGGGGCCCGCATCGGCGCTTCCGAAAGGCCTCGCGCCTCCCTCGGCGCAGCCGTCTGCGGCGTCCCCAGGTCACTCCCTGCGGGCGCGGCCCCGCAGTCAGGTGCCAGGGACACTCCCCCACACGTTCCCGGCGCGACTGGGGCTGCGTGGGGGCTCCGCCCACGGCGGGGGGGGGCAGGGAACTGGGGCGCACAGCCAAGCCTGCCCGCCCAGTTGCCACGAGAAGGGATGGCTGCCCATGCGCCCGTTCAGCGCTGCACCATCGCGCGCGGCCCGCGCGCGCGCGACAAGCGCTCGTGCCAGCCGCAGGGCCCGACACTCGAGCCCACGGCCACCTCAAGCTCCACCCCCCCGACGAGGGGTTGGAACTTGAGCCAAAATGGCTAAACACAAACACTAACACACCAATACTAATACTAACACTAACACTAACACTAACACTAACACCAGCACTAGCACTAGCACTAGCACTAGCACTAGCACTAACACTAACACTAACACTAACGCGCGCACACACACACACACGCAAACACAGGCAACACACACACACGCACGCACCCTTACACCCTTACACCCTTACACACTCACACACTTACACCCTTACACACTTACACACTTACAGACTTACACACAGTTACCCACTTACACACTTACACACTTACACAATTACACACACACGTACACACACACGCGCTCAAGCACACACACACACACCCCTAGTCATCACCACGCCGACAAGATGCCACCGAGAGAGGAGTGCGGGGAGGATGAAGGAGGCATCCCAGGCAGGGACAGAGCACACGGGGTCAGAGGATCGCGCCGCATCGCCGATGCATCGTCTGTACACCCGCGGCATCGGGACGGAGAAGAGCGGGCTCCAGATAGCGCCTCGTCTGACCCTCTCGGACTCCATCTGCTCGGACCCCAACATTGGAGGCCTGGAGAGTCGCAGGAGGGGGGGAGGAGGAGGAAGGTGAGCGGGAGAAGCAGCACGGACTCGCGGTTGGGATCATGGCAGGGGCCCCATGGGCCATACCCCTCGGGCAGGGCTGAACAGATGGAAGGGCCCGAATTATGACCTAATCTTGGAGAGGCTAGAGAGTGCACGGACCTGTCCAGGCAAGCGCCTGCATCAAGGATATCACACCTCGGGTCCTTCGGACTGATGATGCGCCCGTCTCGTCCTGGAGTGGGGACCTGGTCGTGGCGATAGCATCTGGACTCCATCGATGCCCCGTGATCGTGTAGCCGTCGGTCGTCGTGTGAGGAGGGGCGGAACGATAAGGGAGAGGAGCGTGAGGAGGGGAGGGGGACGGGAAGAGGAATGGCGAGGTTATCCGTTGTCTCGCGCGTGCCTCACATACCAGGGTGTCGTTCCCAAGCGGGGTCGAGCCGAAGGAGATGGGGCAGGGAAAAAAGAGGGGAAGCAGAGGGAGGAGCGGGGGAAATAGACAGAGGAAGAGGGATAGCAAGTGAGTGCGTGGAAGGGTCGGAAGAGGGAGGGTGGGAGAGCGGAGCGAGGAGGCGCAACAGGCAGCAACGGGCACCGGGAAGAGGGCGAGGAGGAGAATGACGAGCACGCAGGAGGAGAAGCGCAACACCCAGGAGGAAACCAACTGCACACCTACACCGACCTTGGCCAGCCTCACCGTGGGCCACGAATCGGTGCATGCGCCCCCCTGGCTCGGGGCAGGGAGGAGTACACGCCGATCCCAAGCCCAGGACCTGCCTGGCCAAGCTCGGTGCAGGCGCATCTGTATAGCTGGCGCCCTCCGAAACGCCCGCAGGGGCGCGCTCCTCGAACTGCTGCCGCCGCTGGATGTCCTCCTGGCACAGAGGCCCGCCCCGCGTGCCCCTACTCCGGCCCGCGCGCACGGGGGGGCCAAAGGGAAAGGGGGAGGGCTGCTCGGAGGGAGGCCGCTTCTTGAAGGCGCCAGCCTCACGTCTACGGTTGAGGAGGCCTCCTCCCTCTGGCCTCCTCAACCGTAGACGTGCTATCTGAGAGGCCTCCTCCCTCCTCCTCCTCCTCCTCCTCCTCCCCCTCCCCCCGATTGCCTCCCTCTGCGCGTGGCCGTCTCTGGCTGGCCGGCGGCGCACGCGCAGCTGCTCGCGCGGCGCGGCCGCCCCTGCGAGACCCCCCTGCGAGGCCCTGCGGTGAGAGGCTGTGCCACATCTTCACGTGCTGTCGCGGCATGCCACCTGGGGAGCCTGACCCATACTCCAGATTTCGTAATAAAAGGAGGGGGTCTGGACCCTCCAAGACAAGCCATTTCAGACCTCCCCCGTGGGAGAGCCCTCCAAAACATTGTCCCCAGACCCCCCAGGCCCTCCAAGATAGCCTGGAAGAGACCCCCCCCGAAATGAGACCCCCCTCCCTGTATTACGAAATCTGGAAGGGAGGGGGGGTCTCATTTCGGGGGGGGTCTCTTCCAGGCTATCTTGGAGGGCCTGGGGGGTCTGGGGACGATGTTTGGGAGGGTTCTCCCACGGGGGAGGTCTGAAATGTCTTGCCTTGGAGGGTCCAGACCCCCTCCCTTTTGTTACGAAATCTGGAGTACCGCTTCCCCGACGAAATATCCCCGGGTACGTTCTGCGACTAGAGTGTCGAATCGAGTCCATCTAAGGCTACTGGGGCCCTCCAGGACGAGCAGCGGTCTCGCTATCCTGTCCTCTGAGCCACTGCCACTTTCGGATCGGACAGACAGGGGAGGATAGCAGAGGCGCGGGTGAGCGAATCAGCTGCACGCAGCTGGCTTCCCTGGCGCCTCCTGGCGCCGACGGCGGCCCTGCAACGAGGAAGGAGTCGGGCGCTGGAGCCGCCACCAGCTGCTTGCAGCAGATTTCGTGTAACCCCTCTTTTCCCCCTCCTCCCCAGTCGTCCGCCCCAGTGCTGTCCGGCGAAGGCCTCTAGGCCGAAATAATCCCACCAGCCCTCTGGGCGTCTGTGGTTTAGGGCGTTTCCTCTTCCAACCCTCTTTCTTCCCCTTCGGGGAGGGGTTTACCCCTCCTCCTACCCCCTTCCCTGGACCTGGACGGGGGGTTTCGCGAGTCGTCGGAGCGTCCAACACGGCCCCGGCGAGGAGCCCAAAATCATTGGTTTTACCTTGGTGGGGGAGGTTCGACCCCTCCCCCTTCAATCCAGGGGGGGGCGTCTGGTTCCAACCACCCCCCCCTCCAAGCGCCCACAGAACGCGCTCTGCTACCGAACAAGCCCGAGCCCTCTCTCCACGCCCGCCCGCACGTGTGGGGCGGGAATTGATCCATACCCACCGCCTGGGGAACCGGCGTCCTTGAAGCCCAGCGGGCGATGGACATGGATATATCTGGGCCCCAGGGGGTACGAGCATATCCAGCCCCCACCGACTGCCGAACTCTTCGCCGAACTCTTCGAATATCGATTCCTAAGGTGATGGTAAGGTCAGGAACCGTGCCTACGTAGACGGCATGAGGGCGAAGATGGGAAACGTGCAGTCGTGCAATCGTCGTCGCCGGCGCCATGGGCAGGGGTGGCGCGAAAATCTGCCCACTCGTGCCCGGCCCCGCCAAGAGGCCCGCGAGGCGAACTGCCCAAGAGAGAGAGAGCAACGGGAGAGCACCGACCCGGGAGGGCAAGGCGAGGCGGTCCTGGCTAGACTTCTGCCTCGGAACCTGCGCCCACCGTCTGGGAAAGGCGCCACCCCGCCGAGGCCGCCTGCCGAGCCGGTGCCCCGCTGCGGCCGGGCGGAGCGGCGCGGCTCCCAGACCACAGCGGCTATACCCGCCGGGCCTGTGCTGGGATCGGTGCTGGGGCTGGGGGGATCAGGGGTATCATCAACAGGGGGCATGCCGTTGCGGATGGACCAAAAATTGGAGGCACAACCCTGCGATGTACGATGGAGACATCCATCCTCGATCCCAGACCCCCGACGTCATGATTTTTTTCAT